TCTCGTGTATCCTGCTTGTAGCAAATGAAAATATCATGTATCTGAAGCTGTAATTAAATATTGAGCAACAGTGCATATTATATGTTTATTGATTTAAATGCTGCTTACTTATTCATAAGAACCCAAGTAGAGGACACATACGCAGTTACTTGTTTGGTTGATATAATCCTTAGGTGTGTAAATGTATAATTTCCTTTTCATTCTTTTTTTCATTTTCATTTAAATTTGTAGTTAAAATAACTAAAATAAGTGTATTTTAAAGTTTAGAATTAGACAGCCTTTGGCACACAGGCTTACGCTGGTAACTCATCACAGTCATCAGTGAACTTTCCTCCTCAATATAGGCTATATTTTTTCTCACTTTTCTCATTCTCACTAATTCAAGTTTTTATATGAATGAATGAAGGGAACCGACTGTCTTCGGAAAACTTTCCATGGCATTTTCATTTTATCTGCTAAAGTAGCGTTTATGACGCAGCGCTGCTTTGTTTACAGTCGTTACCGGGGAAACCGCTGTATTTCTGATGTTCCAAAAGCACTTCCTGCTGGCAGAGAATCGATGTGCATTTTCAATAATCACGTCTGCAGTTTTTGTTCAGACCAATGTGAAAATACACCCTTGCTATTTCGTGGTCTGCAACATGAAAGAAAGCCATTATAACATGTACATGAAAAATGTAGAAACGCTGGACACAACTGTGGCCACAACACATAATACCATTATGCAGCAGCAAGCATCACAACAAAAAAGGAACCTCAAGGCTAAATTTGTAAATGTGTGCAAATACATAGGGCCCTATTCATATATTTTGCCTGGGGCTCCCAAATCACTAAATCCGCCCCTTACTGAAATATGTAGTAGAAAACCCATGAAAGATTTACATTATTTTAAAAATCCACATAGTTTTAAACATATTTTGGACTATGGGGGGGTGCCATTATTTCAATGACGTCAAATGGTTCCACTCTGTGAGCTACTGGTGCTATCTGTTGTTAATTTTATCGCAACACAAATCACAAATCGTAACACTGATTCGATGTCACATTGTGCGGCTTTTGGTTGTAATTTTCATACAGATTAACAAGGGAACACAGAAACAGAACCAAAACAGAACATAAGCATGACACTTTTCTCAAATTAATTAAAAAAACAAAAAACAGAACATAAGCATGACACTTTTCTTAAATTAATTTAAAAAAACAAAAAACAGAACATAAGCATGACATGACATAAGCATGACACATTTCTTGCATTAATAAAAAACAAACAAAGAAACAAACAAAACAACAGCAGACGTGATCTTTTCACTGGCTGTGATGGTGGTCTGTACAAATGATGGTCTCATCAAAAAGACACAAGATCCAGGGGGCGAGGTTGGATCCTCCCACCTACCCATCTCCACCCCCTGGATGTGGATGTAACGACTCCCCCTGGATCTTCTACAGTGAGGGGCTACTGGGCATCCCTGGTGGATTAAACCATCTCGGGGTGCTTGATCTCCTGGAGAAAGTGAATGAGTGTGTTAGAGAGATGACATTGATTGGCAATCATTTTTGTAATTTTGCATACAGCAAGTTTTGTGGTTGATATATGTTTATATGTTGCCGTTTAATTGTTTTAAAAGTAATGTGTTGATATTTTGATATTTTATTAATAAAATAAAATCAGTGTGAAACCTACTGCCTCACTTTTCTGGATGTGGTGCTGTTATTCATTTGACCAATTCTGGTCTCATCATTTGGCCTTGCATCCAGGCTGGACCCCCGTTGTAGTGAATGTCAGGCATCCCTGGTGGATTAAAGCATCTCTGGGTGCTATATGGACCTTGATAGTGAGCAGTAGCACTTGAAATTGAACTTGATCTCCTGGTGAAGGTGAATGAGTGTGTTAGAGAGATGACATTGATTGGCAATCATTTTTGTAATTGTGTATACAGCAAGTTTTGTGGTTGATATATGTATATTGTGTTAATTGTTTTAAAAGTAATGTGTTGATATTTTATTACAAAATATGGATAAAATATTAATAATTTATTATACTAAAAAAGAAAAATTTAGATAAATATCTTTGAATGCCATCATGCATACTCCACCATTATAACAGACTCCTTTTTTTGGTGGAGCAGTGCTTCTTGTTCAAACTGACAAAATGCACATTTCTCATTCATTTAAATCTTGTTTGTAGTTATTTTCCACCTTTGAAATAAATGACTTACGCATGCAAACCTGTGGGGATTCTTTTTTATACTTCTATCTTCATACATAATTTTTTTTTCATATTTTAATTTATTATGCCTTTATGTTATATTTATTTACGACTATCTATCGCGGTGATTACATCAAATAAAATATAAAATAGAGAAAAGAACAAGGTCTCCACCCCTGAGGTGTAGTACCATCAAAATCCACCAGGTAGCACCCATGCTCCTTTATAACTTTTATAATACTATTTTAGGAGTTTTCGTACTAATTACCTGCATATTCCATCCATATGTGGCCAAATAAACGTGTTCAGTTGTTAAAATACTCAGTCGATGCGTACAAGTGTCATAATCACTTTTATAATCACTTTTCCATTACAAACTGAACTATTTTAATAGCTGAAACAGTAGTACAAGCTTTTTTTGACATTCAGCTCCTAATGGCAATCAACAATAACATTAGAAAAATAATGACAACATTAGATAACATAAGGGGGGGGGGTAAATACAAAGATGAAAGAAAAAACATTGAATCATTTAACTTTGAATCATTGAACTTGAAAGGCAATATTTGAAAAAAATGTTGGAGTCACTGTTTCTGTTATTTTTAAAGGTAAATAAAGTATACTGGAGTGTGATACAAAATGTGGAATGTAAACATGCAAATGTAAACATGCAAAAAGTTTTTATGGATTGATAAAATTGTGTGGCATTTTTTCAGCAGTTTTCTCCATTCAAATAAATAGTTTCTTCACTCTCTATTCCATTCTAAATGTTAAAGCAATAGTTGACCCAAATGTGAAAATTCTGTCAACATTTATGAGTTTCTTTCTTCTGTTGAACATAAAAAATATATTTTGAAGAAGCTGTTAACTGGTAGCCATTAACTTCCACAGTATTTTTTTTTCCTACGATGGAAGTCAATGACTACCAGTTACCAACATTCTTCTAAATCACTTTTTTTTAATGTTCAACAGAAGAAAAACTCTTCGAAGGTGAGTTATTGGTCATAAGTTTTCATTTTATGTGAACTATCCGTTTAATAACATTATGTAGGCCTACAACTTGTTGTACAGTCATTATTTTATCAGTAGTTGATATATAAGTTTTAATTAGTCTTATAAATCTACCCACACTGCATTCATTTTCCATTTAGTTAAGCTAAGTGAATACACAGCATGTACACCGGAGATATATTGTTGTAGGCCTAATGGTTACTTTTAATGCTTCAGTCTGAGGGGCATATGTACATTTTTATGTCATTTTTCAGTCAGGATCTATATCATTAATGGTGACCATAAAGCCAAAAATTAAGCATAATAACCAAAGAAGAATAAACAAACAAACAAACAAATTAAAAGGAAAACAGGAACTTTTGTAGATGCCTCATGTATGATAATAAACAAAGATTTTTAAAAGCTTGAAACTCACCTGATCTACTTCGAGAGAAAGGGAAAGCTGTAAGCGGCCAATTCAAACCAGCACAGAGTCAGCTATATAAGGAGCTTAAGATATCATCTTGTTGTGATGCTGGGTGCCAGAATCGACGGATTACAGGCTTCAATATGAAATTTTATCGCATACCTGCTGCCATTGCCAGACAAAAAAAAAACAAAAAAAAAAAATGTCGTGTATGAATGTCAGTGTGCATGTGTGTAAAACAACAAACTGACGATTTATAAGCCTAATCATCTGTAATTGTATATACATTGTGATTGATTGTGGCTGGAATTTTTAAGAACTTGGTAAGAAAGAATAATCAAGTACAGAAAGTTGAAAATTTGCAGTTTCTGGATTTTTTATTTCTAGAAAATATTCACCTCTTACTTTAAATGTACTGTATGTAAAGTAATGTAAATGTACTGTAATGTCACTGTAAACCATTTACAAGAGGTATACTTTAAAATAACTATTTGGCCATTACGTACATACATCTTCAAATAATATATCCATCACATTAAATGTTTAACTTTTTTGTATTTTGGCCCAGTTCACTCTCATGTAGCTGTATAAATAGTTGCCTGCTGACACTGAAATATATACAGCTTCATGACTGGATAGACACAGATGAGTTTCTCTCTATTATACCCGTTAGGTTTCTCTATCAGGTTGGTGTAAATATGAGTCACTCAACCGGAGGTAATCCTGTCATATCGTCCATCCATTGAGTGAGTGTGTATGTGTCGGCCATTCTGGTATCGTCCATTAAAGTTAACTTTTTCAAATAACAATTGCTGTCACGGACAGTGAGTGATCTTATTCAGGTAAATTCGGATCGGATTTTCTCCGGTAATTGTTAAAAAATAAGCTACCAAAACTTCATATCTAGCGTTAGTGAAGCGGTCAGGGGAATCTTTCTGCCTCCACCTAAGCTCCACCCACAGAAAAACGTCACATTGTTTACTAACTGAAAAGGGGTCTAGTGCACCTTTAAGCTTTAACTGTAATAATTCATGCAGTGTCTTCATATCCAGTTAACGTTATATTTTTTAATTATCGATGCAAGAACATACATTATTAATGCTTCTGTCACTGTAACCCTTTCCTTTCTTTTGCATGTTACTGCATGCAAACCGATAAGTGTCACAAAAAAAAAAAATCCAAATGGCACGGCTCGGGTGAACTGTCAATACAGCATAAGTTGTACAACACCGCGGGACACGAGACAGACAGATATAAAAACTTGCAGTTGATTATGAATAGGACCGGGAAATTAACACCCTGCTTCACGTTGTCCATTGTCCCCATGTCATGCCATTAATAATGTTACTGTATTTTTCTCTTATTTCTATAATATATTCTATAACGTTAAGCATGAAAAGTAAAATGACGAGACAAGCAGTAGTGATTTGAGGATGGGTTGCCGATAGAGGCTGCGCAAAATTTGTGATATATGACGCTCTTGAACACGTCTCTCCAAGTAGACGCTTCTCCGTCTCTCTTGGACTGAGGAGTAAGTACAGTCGGCTTTTTAGTGCAAAATTGTCCACTGATCAAAGGTAGTGGAGGAAATCAGGAAACGCTGTTTGCCTATGCAAAATGAGGTTTACTATTTGTGCAGCCAAACCTGAAGACTGTAAAGATATAGCGCGCATGATTATGGTGAGACGCCATTCAGAACTTGTTAAACTGTGTTGAATGCAGAAGGATTTTCGATTATCTTTGAATGTTTTATTGTAGGAATTGGCCGTTTATGAAAAGATGCCCGACCAAGTGAAGATATCCCATAAAGGTTATTTTTAAATAAGCTGATCCATTTCAAGTTAGTAAAGTTAAAATGAAGTCACATGTTTCTTACTATGTCTGACTCTACTGGTTTGTTTTCTCTTAGAGTTGGAAAGGGATGGATTTGGCCCCAATCCTTTTTACCAGTGTCTTGTAGCTGAGGTACCTGAGGAGCACAAGTCTAAAGATGGTAATGACTCCTAAAAGACCAAAACCACATAATATCCAGAGAAAACAGAGCAGGAATATGGCCAACAATAATTTATAATGGATTACCTGAAACAGGGTGACCATACGGGTCATTTTTACGGGACGCACCCTTGCCAGTATTTCTATATTGCCTAAAATATCCAGGTTTTGGCTGTTTGCTCTGTGCAGATCGATCGTTGTATGCATAGGCGGAGGGTGAACCAACTCCAGGAAGGCTAAACGCAGCCAAATGTATTAAACATCATAAACCCGTCTTTTTAGGCAAGAACCAGTCATGGGTGTCATGTAGGCTAAAAAAATGTTTAATGGGACTGAATTTGTATTTTAACGTGATTACAATTTAATAAAAACGTTAGAAATTGATAATTATATAACGTTTCCTTTCCAGGGTTATTCAAACAGCGAATAAATTATATAGAAAGTGACATCACTAACATTGACCTATTGCGAGTTTAGGCACTCTAAAAACAAAACAAAAAACTATCCTAATCACTGAAGCTGTATACACTGTGAAATTAATCTCTTACTTACATTGTACATACATCTGCGCTTTGTTGTTTATGATGAGAGAATTCGCAAGAGTCCGGAATTCAGTCAGCGAACGCGCGCGCACTCAACAAAACTGATGAGTTTCAACGATGACTCATCTGAACGCCTCTGATTGGCCATTGCATTCCTAAGCTCAACAGAATTGTGTGTGATTGGTTAAAATGCGCAACACTGTAAAACGCCTAAAATGAAATACGGTGCAACATGAGCAGATCTTAATTTGATTCCGCAATCGACACTGTCTATTCATATTCACTTTGTTAGCAGCAGACGTAATATATTTCATTTGTTTGTGCAGGGGCATTTTTGTCCAATTTAGTGGCATTTTGCCCCAAGTCTAAGGCTAAGCCTTCCCCAGCCTTACACACGCTCCGCCTATGGTTGTATGGCATTATTTCACGAGCTATAGAGAGCAGACGGCTCCTTATGCTTTTAAATCGCTCTTGCGGTTCTTTGGTGTCATACAATGATCAGTGCGCAGCTTCATGTCGAACGACCGAACAAACCAACACTTGCGCATATTTGCATCGCTTTGTTTGTTCTCACCTTCTCACGCGCGACGCGCCACGCCACGATTGGTCGATTATGTACAATACCTGCATGTTATTGGTCAAACTACTTTGGATGTTTTAGGCAATATAAAAATCCTGGCCAGGACGTGTCCCGTATAAATGGCACATATGGCCACCCTACCTGAAATAACCTATTATATTAAATGTAGTTTATTTACTTTTCACCAGATATTTTAGGATTTTTGTCAGAATTAGTTGCACCAAGAAAGATCTTTGCTGATTACATTTACATTTACGTTTATTCATTTAGCAGACGCTTTTATCCAAAGTGACTTACAAATGAGGAATACAACCATCAATTCATCATAAAGAGGCAATAAACACAAGAAGTGTTAGTAATACCAAGCTTCAGACATCGTTCGGAATAGTGCAAGCCAGAACAGGGTTGGATTAAGGAATAATGAAAGCATAGAGAAAGAAGTTGTTGTTGTTTTCAGCAGGGTGAGTTTTCAGGTGTTTCTTGAATATTATATTGTCAGGGATTTGGCATTCCGGATAGGGTTGGGAAGAAGATCATTCCACCAGCAAGGAACTGTGAACGAAAGCGCCCCCCAGCAGTAATTAATCTCAGTTGCTATGACAGCTCAAAAGTCACGCCTTCATGAGATGGATGCATGAATTTACAGTTTTACTGCCTTTTAACTCCTTAGTAATTAACAGCCACAGTAAATGGAGTATTATGAGGGTTTAAGACTTTATATTTATGTCTTCACAAGTACCGTATTGTCCCGAATATAAGACGATGTTTTTTTCTTGGAAATACATCTGAAAAAACGCGGTCGTCTTATATTCAGGGTCTAGACTTTGACATGTCAATAATACACCCACAACACTAGGTGACGCCAAATACGCATAAAACGAGTGTGCCATGAAATACGTAATGTAATGCGTGTTGTAAAGATCGCGAGTAAAAACAAAAGAAGCAGAAAACCTTACAGCTGCGCGAGTCGTGACTGTCACGTTAACCAAACTCCCTCTGTGATTTTAAAACTTAAGACAGTACCCAGATTTGAAGACTACAGTAAGATTTAACTTCTACTGTTAATAAGATTTTGGTAGGCTACTATTAGATGGATAGCCTAAATGTCCTAATTCAGATGGGCTACCTGTTTTTTTTTTTTAAAAGTGTATATTTTTTGAATTTGAGTGTTGGTACATTTTACCAGTTTTTACCATACTTTCAAAACAAAAATTAAAATAGGAAAAATATGCAATATGAAAATAATTGAAGACAAAATGTGTTTTACTGAGAAAAAACAAGATTTGGTTTTTAAAAAGCCTTTTTCCAAAAGGTACATCTGGAAAAAGGGGGGTCGTCTTATAATCAGGGTCGTCTTATATTCGGGCCAATACGGTATTCTTAGAGAAACTGTCATCCCACAGGACATACCAAGGTTGGCTATGCTCTCTTCTTCTATACATACAGCACTTGGAAAGGGAGGACTGTGTATATGGAAGATCTGTATGTGATGCCAGAGTACAGAGGTGTGTATACTTCATCAATTAGTTTTATCCAAAATGCAGAACTCATTGGTCATCTCTGCTTACACTACAGGTAAAGGCATTGGAAAGGCTTTAATGGCAACTGTTGCCAAAGTAAGTTTTTATTATTATTTCTTTTTTAATCTGTAGTTTTATATTATCTGCATAAATCTGTGCATTATGATATTTAAATTTTTTAATGGTATTTTGTGGTTAAACAAGGAATGATCCGTATGGTTTTAATGTAAAAAGGTAAATGTAGTTTTTGTCACTTTATAGGTGGCCAAAGAGCAGCATTGTGTGCGTTTACAGTTCTCTGTACTAGACTGGAACAAGCCCTCTCTAGACTTTTATTTGTCTAAAGGTGCAGAGGACCTCACAGCTAAAGAGGGATGGCATTTTCTCCGCTTTCATGGAATAGCTCTGGATAATCTAGGACTGGAAGCACCTTAAAGACCATTAAGACATGTGACTAGTTTAGTTAAGGAATACTTAGTGAATAGTTTTGCTTTGTATGTTAACTTTTAATACTATATCTTCAATCTTAGAAAAGGTTTAAAAAATCTTGAAACAAGAACAATAAAAATGTTGATAATGATATTCTAATTAATGTTTCAATTAATGTTAAATTTTGTGCCAATGTTCAATGCAAAGTAATTTTGACATCTTTAAAATACATCTTGCAAATACTGTTTTTGTTGTAATTAGTAGTTGGAATATTTCAAGCTTCTGTCCTCAACTTGAAATTGCAATTGTCCCTAAACATTTTGTAATTAAACTGAACCTTCTGATTCACTGTGCGCAGAGCAACATTTATAAAACAATGTGTAAGAATGTAAGAACTTGACTGGCCTGCACATAGCCCAGACCTGAAAACCTTATTTTATAAGTGAACAGGATGAATGCCTGTGATAATCGCATTTGAAACACTGCTTTATGAAGCATATTTTTGCTGCTGTCTTGTTGCATTCACACTACTTTAACCAGAAGATGTCCTTTGTGGGGTTTTTCGAGGGCTTCGAAACAGCGGTGCATACGGTGCGTCCATTTCACCTGGGGCACTGTTACTTCATTTATACATCATATTTACAGCAGATTAAATGATCTATAAATAGAGATTTAAACCTACAATTATATAATAAGGAATTAGAACAAGTTAAAATGATAAGATTTCTGGGTATGTGGTTTGACAGGAAAGCTACATGGAGTACACATATAAATAAGATCAAAAAGTCAAAAGAATTAAGGATTTGTTGTGGTGCCTATCCTCCTTCTCCAGTTCCAGCATTACAGGTGGAGATGGGGGAGATGCTATTAAAAGGTCAGAAGGAAAATCCCCCAACAAAAAAAGGTATTAGAAACATGTTAGGAATATAGGATAGAAACAATTAATAGTTTTGGGTGGATCATTGAGGATTTGGTGCAGGATATGAAATTAAACGAGTGCAATATTATGCCAGTTTAATATTACCACCAATACCTCTATGGATTTTAACACAACCAAATGTTGATTTATTCCTATTGGAAGCATGACAAGATAAGGGTCAAAATGCATTAGAGGCAGAGTTAACAAGGGAGTATTTACGGACTAAGTATGAACATTATAATCAGGTTTTTACAGATGTGTCTAAAGATGCAGGGAAAGGTCAAGTGTGGGTTTGCATACATCATCCCAAGGAGAGTGAAAAAGGAAATCAGATCAAGTTTCAGTGTTTACAGGAGAATTACTATTAACTTGAATTACTAATAATATTACTATTAAGTCTGGATGCTCAACAGATTGAAACGAAGATATTTTGATGGAAATATTTCAGATATTACATATAATGTAAATAAGAGTTTGTATGGGTTCTTGTGCATACTGGAGTTTCAGGGAATGAATTTAAATTAAAGAAGCTATATACAGTATTATATATAAGATGGAAGAGCTGAACAACCAGCATAAGTCCTAATAGATCTGGTGAGAGAAGATCCAGAAATGATCTTCTATAGAACTGAATATTCCACGTTGTAAAGAAGAAGTTAAGGCTATAATTAGAACAGCTATAAAAGGCAAATGGCATACAATGGAATGAGGAGGAAAGAGGAAGACATATTTATCAGATTCAAAATAAAATTGGTGGTGAAAGAGGAAGTCGTCGCAGTAGAAGAGAAGACACAATCATTACCAGACTTCACCTTGGGCATACAGCTCTGAATTATTCCCTGTATAGAATGAACAAACATGAGTTTGGGAATTGCAGTCTATGTGGATTAGCAAAAACTGTAGAGCATGTATTAATATATTGCACTGCTTATCAAAATGAAAGGATAATTCTGGTGGAAGAGTTAAAAGAAATGGGGATAGGAAATATTACACTTAAAAAAACTGCTGAATAATGGATTGGAAAGTTATAGAGTATATAAAGCATTAATAAAATATTTAAGAAAGGTGCATCTGTTTAAGAGGATTTAGAAGCCGATTTATTATTAGTGGTCCTTTCCTTAATGTTTTTTTCTCTCTCAGCTTAGTCTTTCTTCCTGTTCCTTCAATGAATCACACTCCAGCTCAGTAGGTGGCGGGAATGCACCTTTTTGTTTGTTTGCCAAACGCCATAAAAAGCCAGAAGAAGAAGAAGAAGCGAGACGCTCCATAACCCACAGTAGATGGCAGTAATGCTCTTTTTAAGAATGTGAGCCGCCAATAAAAAAAGAAGAAGAAGATTGCTTCTTTGAGTAACTCGCCATCTCTTTTCCATTTGATTCGCATTTATACAAAGATTTAAACACCAAGAAGGCTCAAATGGCAACAGAAAGCGAAGAGAACGGCACGGAAATGCAAACTGAGGTCTGAATACTTTGTCACATAAGGGGCCAGTGAAATATTAACGCTCGAGCTAATGCTAGTAAGCACTATGATGAATTTATGTCGGCGCTTCATGAGTATCACATTTTTAATCGAATACTTCTGATGTTATCAAACCTTTATGATATACGATTATTACATTTGAAAGGAAAACAGTGACGTGGTTAAATATGCTGATCCAATTAATTTAATATGTTTTATCTCTGTGGTCGATGTAAATTATATGTTGTGTCTCAGGTGGAGGCGTCTGCTTATTCGCTCGCTCGGTGTAAGCTGGAGAACCTCCTCAATAAGAGCATGAGGATCCGGATGACAGACGGGCGCACGCTGGTGGGACTCTTCCTGTGCACAGACAGAGACTGCAACGTCATCCTGGGATCTGCACAAGAGTTCCTCAAATCCACAGGTACCCAGAGCACCCTGGACACACACCTTATGCTTTATCAGCACTTAGGTACTCAATATTACTCTTTAGTGCAGGAGTGTCAAACTCAATTCCTGGAGGGCCGGAGCCCTGCAGAGTTTTGTTCCAACCCTGCTCCAACTCACATACCATGTAGTTTTCAAATAAGCCTGAAGGACTTGATTAGTTGGATCAGGTGTGTTTAATTAATCCGGCCCTCCAGGAATTGAGTTTGACACCCCTGCTTTAGTGTCAAGTTATTTTACTGTTATTAGTAGTGCTTGTTTATGCAAGTCTACTTTTGCTGTATATTGTCAGGAATTCGAACTACAATCTAATAATTATCAAAGACTTACCACAAACTATTTCTGCTATGGATACTTTGAAACTTCTAAAATGATTCAGTCTGTTGAGGAGAGGCAAGGCTTCAGACTTCAACAGATCATCACCACCTAATTTGGTAGTGGGGTGATGCTGTATTTGTGAAATACTATAGTATTTCACGAAAAAGTGCAGTTACTAATGATATTTCATATTTAAAGGAGTAGTTCACCCACAAATGAAAATTTGCTTACCCTCAGGCCATCCAAGATGTAGGTGACCGACTTTCTTCAGCAGAGTTCAGTTTCTTGCACAGACAAGTCATTTCACTTTTTAAGACCTCAATATATCATCAGGATAGGGTTACCATATGCCCTCTTGTTCCCAGACATGTGCCGGTCGGGATTTCTAAATTGGCAAAACATTTTTTTTTTTTTGCTTTGTTTTCTTGTTGTTTTCAAATTTGCTAAATGTAGTGACTGAAAGTATTTTGACCAATAGGGTGCAGGCATTGTACATAATCCTCCAATCATGGCGGCAAGAAGATGGGATCTGCAGAGAACGGTCAAAGCAATGCAGATATGTGTTCAATGTTTGAGGACTGTAGAGAGCACATCAACAGGAAAACTAAGCCAAAACCTGGATATTTTAGGAAATTTTGAAATCCTGGCCATAAAATGTCAGAGAAAAAGAGGATGTATCTCGCAGTATTACTTAAACACACTATATTAATTTTGTGTTGCCTGTATCTGCTTTTTTAACTCCCAAAGGGCCTGCGAGTGAGTAAATTTACAGCAAAGTTTCATTTTTGTGTGAAGTAATACGTAAAGTGTAGCTTTACTTATATAACAACAGTAACATCAAAAATGGGAACTGAGTTGGGAGTCTACAGCTCTTGATTTGTCTTTTTATCAAAATTTGCACAGATTCTTTCTCACAAGGTGAGCCCAGAGTGTTGGGACTGGCGATGATCCCTGGCCATCATGTGGTTTCTATAGAAGTGGAATCTGAAAGCCTTCAGATGACCACCCATGGACTCTGACAACTTTAGAGGCTTTTGGGGTCACCATATGGACTACAGAGAATGTAGTTTGCACACACACACATTTTGTCTGCAAATATAGAGATGGCAGTGAAGATCCACTCTAGCTGGATTTATTCACCCCAAATGGATTTTTCCTTATTTTTCAGGGAACTCCAATTCCATACACAGTGGTTTGGTCCTCTGTTGAAACAAGAATAATAACAACATGATGTAAACTGTACCTTTTTGTTTGTGTGTTTGCTTGCATGTGAGTGGTGCACGTTGTGTGTAAATACTGACACTTTAATTTTTCAATAAGAGACATCTTTCATAATCTTTCTCATATTTGTCTTGTCATTGCACCACTAATTTTCCCTCGTAACCTCAAATCACCAGCAGAGGTTATTCACAGAGTTCATCACAGGCCACAGACTTTATTGCATTAAATGTATTAGTTCATTATTGGTATTATTATTGCATATGTAAACAGAACAGCATATTTCAGCCGTGCTGAAATAACAAGAGTGATTTAGGGTGCTAATACATTATATGTATCAGCACAGTACGTTATTTAAATGCTTCTTATAAAAAGAATAAAACAAATTCTAGGAAAATGTTTAGTTTTCTATAGAATTCATCATAATTATTTATCACTACATGAATATATTAACTAATTTAAAGAAGGGCTGATCTAAATAACATCCTGGTCCAACATAATGGCCAAGTTAACGTAAAATGAAAAGATATATAATATATTTTAGTAGGGGTGGGAATCTTCAGGCACCTCACGATCAGATCCGATTCCAAAATGGTTTTGATCCACATTTGTTTCTTATTATTTAATGAGTTTACTGACCATGAATATAAAATGTATATGTGCATTTTTATTAAATTAGTTATATTAGTTTTATAAACATTTTTTGCTGTTTGCTGACTGATGACATCAGACAGAGGCAGGTCTAATAGGCTGCATTCACACATTTTAATGCACAGCTCTGTTTTAGCATATCAGATGTTTTGTCCTGTCAAGAAAACATAATTGACTGTGTACTTTCATATAATAAAAGCATTTTGAGGTGCAAGTGCCTCATACCGCAATTGCGCTTCAGAATGAGCACACAAAAGCGCATGTGAGCATTTTAAAGCAGCGGTCTGTAAGTAAGCGTCATGTGTCCAAAATGTACTGCATTCCTGACGGCATAAATTATGCATTCGTAGAGCATTAAGAAAGTAAATTACTGAAATAGATGCATCGGAAAAATATTTTTCTTTCTCCCACCCCTATTTTTAAGTGTTTTCAAAAAAAAAAAAAAAAAATTGTCTCAACAAAGACCCCCTGCTCTTTTCTTGCAAATTCTTGTACACAACAACAATTTACTCCATGCGAATAATTTTTATCTCAGAAATAATTACAATAACAAATCCACAGGTACCCAGAGCACCCTGGACACACACCTTATGCTTTATCAGCACTTAGGTACTCAATATTACTCTTTAGTGCAGGAGTGTCAAACTCAATTCCTGGAGGGCCGGAGCCCTGCAGAGTTTTGTTCCAACCCTGCTCCAACTCACATACCATGTAGTTTTCAAATAAGCCTGAAGGACTTGATTAGTTGGATCAGGTGTGTTTAATTAATCCGGCCCTCCAGGAATTGAGTTTGACACCCCTGCTTTAGTGTCAAGTTATTTTACTGTTATTAGTAGTGCTTGTTTATGCAAGTCTACTTTTGCTGTATATTGTCAGGAATTCGAACTACAATCTAATAATTATCAAAGACTTACCACAAACTATTTCTGCTATGGATACTTTGAAACTTCTAAAATGATTCAGTCTGTTGAGGAGAGGCAAGGCTTCAGACTTCAACAGATCATCACCACCTAATTTGGTAGTGGGGTGATGCTGTATTTGTGAAATACTATAGTATTTCACGAAAAAGTGCAGTTACTAATGATATTTCATATTTAAAGGAGTAGTTCACCCACAAATGAAAATTTGCTTACCCTCAGGCCATCCAAGATGTAGGTGACCGACTTTCTTCAGCAGAGTTCAGTTTCTTGCACAGACAAGTCATTTCACTTTTTAAGACCTCAATATATCATCAGGATAGGGTTACCATATGCCCTCTTGTTCCCAGACATGTGCCGGTCGGGATTTCTAAATTGGCAAAACATTTTTTTTTTTTTGCTTTGTTTTCTTGTTGTTTTCAAATTTGCTAAATGTAGTGACTGAAAGTATTTTGACCAATAGGGTGCAGGCATTGTACATAATCCTCCAATCATGGCGGCAAGAAGATGGGATCTGCAGAGAACGGTCAAAGCAATGCAGATATGTGTTCAATGTTTGAGGACTGTAGAGAGCACATCAACAGGAAAACTAAGCCAAAACCTGGATATTTTAGGAAATTTTGAAATCCTGGCCATAAAATGTCAGAGAAAAAGAGGATGTATCTCGCAGTATTACTTAAACACACTATATTAATTTTGTGTTGCCTGTATCTGCTTTTTTAACTCCCAAAGGGCCTGCGAGTGAGTAAATTTACAGTAAAGTTTCATTTTTGTGTGAAGTAATACGTAAAGTGTAGCTTTACTTATATAACAACAGTAACATCAAAAATGGGAACTGAGTTGGGAGTCTACAGCTCTTGATTTGTCTTTTTATCTAAATTTGCACAGATTCTTTCTCACAAGGTGAGCCCAGAGTGTTGGGACTGGCGATGATCCCTGGCCATCATGTGGTTTCTATAGAAGTGGAATCTGAAAGCCTTCAGATGACCACCCATGGACTCTGACAACTTTAGAGGCTTTTGGGGTCACCATATGGACTACAGAGAATGTAGTTTGCACACACACACATTTTGTCTGCAAATATAGAGATGGCAGTGAAGATCCACTCTAGCTGGATTTATTCACCCCAAATGGATTTTTCCTTATTTTTCAGGGAACTCCAATTCCATACACAGTGGTTTGGTCCTCTGTTGAAACAAGAATAATAACAACATGATGTAAACTGTACCTTTTTGTTTGTGTGTTTGCTTGCATGTGAGTGGTGCACGTTGTGTGTAAATACTGACACTTTAATTTTTCAATAAGAGACATCTTTCATAATCTTTCTCATATTTGTCTTGTCATTGCACCACTAATTTTCCCTCGTAACCTCAAATCACCAGCAGAGGTTATTCACAGAGTTCATCACAGGCCACAGACTTTATTGCATTAAATGTATTAGTTCATTATTGGTATTATTATTGCATATGTAAACAGAACAGCATATTTCAGCCGTGCTGAAATAACAAGAGTGATTTAGGGTGCTAATACATTATATGTATCAGCACAGTACGTTATTTAAATGCTTCTTATAAAAAGAATAAAACAAATTCTAGGAAAATGTTTAGTTTTCTATAGAATTCATCATAATTATTTATCACTACATGAATATATTAACTAATTTAAAGAAGGGCTGATCTAAATAACATCCTGGTCCAACATAATGGCCAAGTTAACGTAAAATGAAAAGATATATAATATATTTTAGTAGGGGTGGGAATCTTCAGGCACCTCACGATCAGATCCGATTCCAAAATGGTTTTGATCCACATTTGTTTCTTATTATTTAATGAGTTTACTGACCATGAATATAAAATGTATATGTGCATTTTTATTAAATTAGTTATATTAGTTTTATAAACATTTTTTGCTGTTTGCTGACTGATGACATCAGACAGAGGCAGGTCTAATAGGCTGCATTCACACATTTTAATGCACAGCTCTGTTTTAGCATATCAGATGTTTTGTCCTGTCAAGAAAACATAATTGACTGTGTACTTTCATATAATAAAAGCATTTTGAGGTGCAAGTGCCTCATACCGCAATTGCGCTTCAGAATGAGCACACAAAAGCGCATGTGAGCATTTTAAAGCAGCGGTCTGTAAGTAAGCGTCATGTGTCCAAAATGTACTGCATTCCTGACGGCATAAATTATGCATTCGTAGAGCATTAAGAAAGTAAATTACTGAAATAGATGCATCGGAAAAATATTTTTCTTTCTCCCACCCCTATTTTTAAGTGTTTTCAAAAAAAAAAAAAAAAATTGTCTCAACAAAGACCCCCTGCTCTTTTCTTGCAAATTCTTGTACACAACAACAATTTACTCCATGCGAATACTTTTTATCTCAGAAATAATTACAATAACCTATTTACATGGCTCCATTCTCCAGTAAACATCGGAGAATATTTACATTAGAAATGTGACATTTCTGCTTTATAGCAGATTCTGACCATAATGCATAAAAAGGGTCTTGCATGGTGTGTTCTCTGTTTTGTGATGTCTGTAACTTTGTTGATCCCAGGTATTCAGTAAGTTTCTTACACGTATACATTGAGTCCATATTGGCTGGAAGGGACATTGGATGTTGCAGAGACCGTCTGAACCATATGTCTGGATTGAGGCTGGTAGGAGTATGATCTGAAGTTCTGAAGATGTGATCTAAACAAACAAAATGAAAAAAAAAAAAAAATATTGTAAACACAGACATTTGTAAAAACAAACAACTGATGTCACCTGCTGCCGCACTGTCCGTACAATGTCTTAGGCAGGTTACTAATACAGAGTTTCTGAAATGGTTAGTAATAAAGTGTCATTTTAACAGGGCATGTGTTGCATACTAAACTCACTTTTTGTCCTCTGGGCTGCGAATTCCACAGGAACACAGCAAGCAGCTGCCACCACATAAAGCCATTGTGGCCGAACTCCAACCAATGTACAGCCCATCTCCGATTTCATACCTAAAGACATAGGACACATCAAACGTTACACCGCAGCGGCATTCCAAGACTGCTGATCTTTTATGACTGGCCAATTTTGTCTGAAACAGTGCTCCTACTCATTTGATATTGCTTAATTAGAAAACTCTCACAAATATGATGAACTAAGAAAAAGAAACTGATTCTTTGGGTCTTAATATTTTCTCTAATAGTTCTACATACTAAGATAAAGACTCTATATTCCACTTACTTTATTCCTGGATAAAGGGGGTCAAAGAATTCCTGAGTGATATTGAAAGCATACCAAGACGCTGCAATCATCGTGCACAGACCTGAAACATGAACATTAATTTTGGGACAAACTGCAAAAGGTTTAATCACATATGCTTCTTACCAAGACAGTCTATCATAGGCCTTTTGGAAGACATACAGTATATATTATGAAAACATAATCTTTATAGTTCTTGGTAAAACTTTACAAGTTTCAGTTCATTAACATGAACAATATTTAATTGGGTATCATTACGATACTTATGCAGTGTTTACTAATCTTGGTTAATGTTACCCTCTACGTACTAATATGTTTTTAACATTGCAGTTTGTATACATTAATCTAATATGAACAAACAATAATTAACAATGAATAGTATATTTATAAATTATCATTACCCTAGATAGTGTATTTATAGGTTACCATTTACCTAGTAACAAATGCTATATAAAATATAGTATATTGTATAAAATAAATTCACTGTTAGTTGAAAATCTAATGAATGAAAGTTAACAAATTTAATCCAAGTGTTAACCAGCTCTTTTTGTAAAAGAACCCTGACATTACTTAAGTAAAGGCAGTTCTCTAGTAGTGCTTAAAAAAAAAACCACACAAACATATTTGATGTAGCTGTTTGGTAAACAAAATAAAAATGCCAAACTGACATACTTTCATACAAGACTCAGTTAGATAATGATGGTAGATTTTAACTGAGAGGAAAAGGGAACTTCTCATGCTTCATAGAGAAATTTTACACAATTGCTTAAACAAAAAATTATGTTGACCACAACTGTGGTTTGCTGTTATTCTCATCAATGGTTCTGTGTGCTCTGTGCAGTGTACCTCGACCTGAGAAAAAAAAGTATCACAACTAACCCCAACCTCCCCTATATGACAGGTGCTAAGACAGTAAATGATGTAATTTGGTGATGTTCTTACCTTGAAGTATGAAGAAGACACCTCCAGCCCCAGCGATCCGACCCTTCATTACGTAATTTTCCCCTCCTATTTTGGAACACTGCATACCCACTAGAGTTGCCACCAGTCCGAATGTGCCCAGCACAATAGATGTGATCATTAATGCACGGCATGCTTGGATATAACCTGAGAAAAAAGAGAAGGAATAGTTACAAAAAGTCTGACAGCTGATTGGCTTGGTGGTTTTGGAGAGGCTCCTAATTTATTTATTTTTTTCCTCTTGATCACAAATGTTATGACAAACCCAAACCATATTTCTGCTTATAGTGTACAGCACTCCCTGGTCTCTACTAAATGAGGAAAATAAATAAAGTGTTACCTTTTTGGCTAGAAATATGAGATAATATGATTGTTAATGCTTAATAATGTACTTATTAAACATTATCTAATGATTAACAGATCATTATTTAATGCAAATGTAAATGTTAACAGATGTTATTAAACTTTCAATTCATATCACTTTTTAAAAATGAAAATGATTTTAACAGATGATTTACAATGATTAAAAACTTCACTAATAAATCATTAACAAACATTATATAATGCTTAACGGATCATTAGTTAATGCTTACAAATGATTAAACTTACAAGTCATTAAACTTTCAATTCATATGATCATGCCGTTTTAAAAAATCTACAAATAACTGGAACAAAAATTATACAATTATTACAAGTTTATTTATTAATGTACTTTTGAATGCTAACAAATGTAATTACATTTAAGTTCAAATATTACCTAATGCTTTTTTACATTTACAAATGTTGAAGAAATTGCTTAATTAGTAATTTTAATCACTTTACAAACTATTCATGTTAACATATTATTCATTTACTCATAATCACAGTCTTTAAAGGTCACACAGTGGAGATCAAAATAAGAGAACAGTCTAAAAATGATTTTTTTTTCTGAAATATTGTTAATCTTCATTACTCAAAATTTGAAGGAATATTCTGTTCTACTAACATGTTTTACAAAATAACCAGAGAATTTCAACAACAACAACAAAAAAACACTTTAATTTGTGGAAACACAGTGATCAAAATTAAAGAACAGTAACCACTGTAGCACAAAAGAAGATTACAGCTAAAATTTTGGAGGGTTATAGCTGTCAAAAATTAGTAGAAAGTGTAGAGGCCCTTGCTTTGAATGACTTTAGCACATCTGTGGCTGCAGGATATCACTAGTTTCTCGCATTGCGATCTTGGTGATCTTGGTCCACTCTTCTTCCAGTCTCTTCCATAGTTTGGTAACTGTAGTGGGTTTCTTGGCCATAACTTTGTCGCCAAGGATTTTGCAGAGATTTTCATTTGGGTTTAGATCTCTGGTCTGGCCATTTCATTATTTCATTTGACTCCTGTACACTGTTGACCCCTTAACCAACCCTTAAACCTACCCATACCACCAAGCGTGTCCCAAATCTTACCCATATCACACCCCAATAGCAGCAAAACTGTTGTACATTAACAAAAGCTTTTAATAATTGTATAACATCTGTTAAAATCTGTTAAAATAATTTGAAGATTTCCAAGATGTGCATGATTATATGAATTAAAAGTTTAATGACATTTGCATAAGCATTTTAATTTACATTAAATAATTATCTGTTAATCATTAGGTAATGTTTATGTAACGGGGCGTTCGGGAGATGAGAGGCATGCGGATCCATATGCAAGCTTTTATTCACAGACATGGTCAAAACACAGGCAGGGTCGAACACCAGCAAACAGGTATGGTACGGGCAAGACACACGAGTAGTCCAGTAAACAGATGGAGGTCGATCGGCGGCGAATGTGATCCAGGGGGCAAGGCAAACGGGTAATCCAACAGACAGGCGATAATTCCAGGGCAGGCAGAGATCAGACAGGACGAGATAAACCATGCTAGAATCAAGACACAGGTTAAACAGGAAACAAACAGGACTGACTGTCCTAAACTCCGGAAACACGGAATGGCTTCGTAAAGTTGCTATCCCTAGGAGAGTAATAAACGCAGACAATACTCGGTGATCCGAAAGAGGAAGCCCAAGGCTTATAAAGTGTGTTTGATTGGTTGCAGCTGTGTGTGTATAATCAGTGCAATGGATGATGGGAACTG